GAAGAACAGCTGATGGAACGATCACAAAAGCAGAGATTGTCTTAGGGTTTGATCAAGGACAAACAACAAACAAACAAATAAATTAATGAATTAAGTAGCTTTGAAATGTCCCAAGATTTAACAAACATTTTAATTTGTTGAGGTTGCGCGACTTTATTTAATAATTAAAAATGTGTAGGACGCATTTAAAGGGGTCATATGATGCTGCTAAAAAGAACATTATTTTGTGTATTTGGTGTAATGAAATGTGTTTATGCGGTTTAAAGTTAAAAAAACACATTATTTTCCACATACTGTACATTATTGTTTCTCCTCTATGCCCCGCCTTTTTGAAACGCGTCGATTTTTACAAAGCTCATCGGCCTGAAAAAGCTTTGAGACTTTAGTCTTTGCAACTTTACAGATCTTCTTTATGCACCAAGAGCTTGTAACACTCCAAAGAGAAAGGAAAAAATGAAATCGCATCATATGACCCCTTTAAAATGTTGGACGGAGCGTCAACGCCCTCTAGTGGACCATCATTAGTTGAAGTTTGCCTTGCTTAAACCTTATGCCTCTAATGATTCAGTCAGGGAAGACACGAAACGTCACGTGTTTATCGCTCGAGTCACAAATAGAGAGTGAAAGTAAATGCTCAGGTGTATGAATCGATTTACAATAAGGAATATTGAAGTGTTTTATGGGGAGCTTTATAGCTCATGAATTTACCTGTAGCTACTTGACAGGAAAGTTGGAGGATTTGTGTGAATCTCTATGTAATTATATTTTGGTCAAGGTGAGTCAGATCTCCTGACGCTTTACAGGTGACTTCTGCATTCATATATTTTCCCTGAAGGACGTGTTTCGGGTTGCCTGCGGTTTATTGTAGCATTTGTGCTGACATAGAACAGACATTATTTGAATTCGAGTGAACATGCGTCTCAGGATCCTGCTTTTTAAATGTATTTATTTATTTATTTATTGTCACATGATCCTGTTTCTCCGTCTCTCTGGATCGGTTTGACGCCATCGCCGCCCGCGTCTCAAATAGAAAGTGAAAGTAAATGTGATGTTTCGCCTTTTAAACAATTAGAACCGTTTCTTTACAATACGTATTATCAACGTTTTTAATAGGAACCGTGAATTTACCTGTAGCTACTTATAGAAAAGGCGGAACATGTTGTTGATATGTAATTAAAAATTGATCAAGGTGAGAACACAAGACTCGAGACACTGTACAGGTGACTTCTGGAAACGAGAAAAACAGGATTTTAGGATCTTGAGACGTGATAGGCCTACTTCTGTTTCTCCGACTCTCAGGATCCGTTCAGCTGAATTATTGTGTTTGTTTGCCATTTCCATCCAGAGTCAGTGGTGAAGATCAGATTCTGTTTCATCATGGATGACTCACAAACATCCAGAGATGAAGATGTTTCTCCAGGATGCAGGTACTTTCAATAAACACTATTTAATCACTTTTAAATGATTGAAGATGGCAATATGTTGTTTGATGATAAAGGCTTTTTGGACCTTACAGTAAAATGATGGTCGTCATAAAGCATTTCCTTTTTTCTGTTATAGTTTTGTCCATCAGAAGTGATCAGAACAGTACAATATTTGGAATACAGTAATTTAAAGCATTGACTGTAATCTTTTTTTTTTTTTGTAGTTCAGTTCATCAGAAGAGTTCAGAACCAGAGCCCAGCTGTGTCTCTATGAGGAGTGACAAGTCTATGTTTTGGCCAATAGATTTTAAGGGTGGAGATACACAGTCTGATCTAAGGTTTAATATTTCTATAAAAATATGAACAATTATCAGTAAAATTATTTAAAAATATATGGATTATCAGAATAGTATTCTAATAATGATCAATTATTTTATTTTCATTTGATAATTTAATATATATATATATATATATATAGTGGTGCTCACACAGAGACATATTTGTGATAGCATTTAGTTCAGTTTACAGTTTTTGTATCAACACAAATTAAGTAAAGATCATAAAGTGCTCTTTAAAATGTTTGTATGGCTAAATATATATATATATATTTTTTTGTATACAGTAATTTAAAACATTCACAGAAGAGATCGGAACCAGAGCCCAGCTGTGTGTCTATGAGGAGGTCCTGTTCTATGGATAATATAGTAAATTTTAAGAGTGGAGAAACACAGACTGATCTCAGGTATAGCATTTCTTTGAAATATATGATTTGATGATGATACAGAATACAAAAAAAAATACATTGTTCTCATTAACTTATGTAAAAAAGTGATATTTATATTTTACAGCAATGAAGTCCTCAACACATTTAGATCAAATCTGTTGAAGAAGTTTCAGTGTGTTAATGAGGGAACAGCAAAGCAGGGAAACCCAACACTCCTGCATGAGATCTACACAGAGCTCTACATCACAGAGAGTGAGAGTGGAGAGATCAGTAATGAGCACGAGGTGAGACAGATTGAGACACAATCCAGGAGAGCAGCAACAGAGGACACACCGATCAAATGCAGTGACATCTTTAGAGCTTTACCTGGACAAGACAAAGCCATCAGAACTGTGCTGACAAAGGGAGTCGCTGGCATTGGAAAAACAGTCTCTGTGCAGAAGTTCATCCTGGACTGGGCAGACATCTAGCAGCTCTGTATGTGCACCTCTCCTGTACAAACCACAACATAAATGTGTTTGAGCCAATCACCAAACAGAGTTTGATATCTAAAGTTCGAAAAAATTCATCAGATGTTTCATTATCTGCTCTGCATCAGAGAGCTGTAAATGAAGCTCTACAGAGTGAAAATGGACGTCTGGACCTTTTCCTGCGGTTTCTTCTGGGTCTGTCAGTGGAGTCTCGTCAGATTCTCTTACAAGGACTAATGAAACAGAAAAGAAGCAGCTCTGACAGCAATGAGGAAACAACTGAGCACATCAAGAAGAAGATCAGGACCATTAACTCTCCAGAGAAATCCATCAATCTGTTCCACTGTCTGAATGAACTGGGTGATTGTTCACTAGTGGAGGAAATACAACACTATCTGAAATCTGGAAGAATAGCTGAAGCCAAACTCTCTTCATCTCAGTGGTCAGCTGTAGCTTTTGTGTTGTTGACATCAGAGAAGATGCCAGATGAGTTTCATCTTGATAAATTTGTTAAAAGAAGCAAAGCTGAAAATATGAAAGTTCTTCAGATGCTTCTGCCTGTGGTTAAAGAATCCAGATCAGTTCAGTAAGTAAGAAAATCAAATTGTAAAGTCAGAGAAGTCCTATAAATAATTCTGGCTTACCAGGTATTGTCTTTTTTTTTTTTTTTTTTTTTACATAAAGAGGTCATTTTTAAACATGGGCATAATAGACCAAGCAGAAATTGAGACCAACCAAGTGAATAATCAGTAATCATATTTCACATTAAAAACATGATTTTTCAATTAATGGAGCAATATGGCAACATACTTAAAACACATTTTTTGAGGACAACTAATTTGTAAATGCTGATTGAATTCGGTCCTAAAGTTTTTGTGTGTATGTGTGTACAGGCTTATCCTCCATTGTGGGGTCCAAATGTCCCCACAAGGATAGTAAAACCTGACATTTTTTACATTTGGTTTCTGTTTCTGTGAGGGGTAGGGTTCGAGGTAGGTTTAGGTTTAGTGTATAGAAAATACTGTTAGAGCTGTATAAAACAATAGAAGCCTATGGCAAGTCCCCACAAAGATAGCTATATAAATGTGTGTGTGTATTTGACCATGAAGCTGGAATTTAAAATTAGTGTTTATTGCAATTGTTTGATTGCTTTTTTTCCAGTTCATAGTGTTTAACAAGTATGGTTGTCATCTTTTTACAGTTTAAAAGATTGTGGTGTCACAGATGAAGGCTGTGCTGCTCTGGCTTCAGCTCTGAGATCAAACCCCTCACACCTGAGACAACTGGATCTGTCTGGAAATAAACTAGAAAGTTTTGGCGTGACACAGCTCTGTACTTTATTTGAAGATCTTCATTGTAAACTGGAAAAACTAGAGTAAGTGAGTGATGAGACGTGTCAGCCAAGTATGGTAACCCATACTCTGTATTTGAGCTCTGCATTTAACCCATCCAAGTGCACGCACACACACACACACACACACACACACACACACACAC